TACATCACCATCGATGAGCAGCATCAGGTGCGGAAGAGATCGAATGAGCCTGTACTTTTCATCTGGCATCATGTGACGCTCGTNTTCGATAANATCTACATTCTGCTGCAGCATTTCTATCAGGATCTCCTCATGGCCAGGAATCTTTTTCAGCGCATCCCGAAGATTGTGGAATATCAGACTTTTGGGATATCGAAAATTTGACAGAAATAGCTGCAGCTTGTGCTTTTCTTGCGCCAGTTGATCTCCGTTTGGCAGCTCGGCCCTCAGCGCTTGCAACACCTGTGAAATTTGAATTTATAATATCACAGGGATATTGATGCAACTGCAACGCTGAGCTCGACACGATTGTACCGCGAGAAGTCAGTGGTAAGGCTAGCTTTCATATCTTTCAAATTATCTAATTTTTGAAGGAGATCGACGACTTTTGTTATCGCGTCATAATATCCATCAGGAACAATACGTTCACGTGCTTCCCTAGTTACTAGGCTACGCATGCACCGCTCGATTATAGCAACTCCTTTCTCTTGAAAATCCATGAGTCTTCGCATCTTGGCTATTTGCGGCTGGAGCGCATAGAATGTCTGTAAGTTTAGTTCATTCTTGCTCTGCAGGCCCTGATCATTCACCATGGGTACTGCACGCCCAACACTACGAAACGTGTACAACATGTGGATGTGTTCCGAGCCTTCCAGCAGCAGTGCTTCTACATCAGCAGTCGCCTTAATTTCTGGGGCAAACTCAGTCTGGAGGCCAATATGATCTTGATAGCGTATTTCGTTACTTCCTGATCGCATGGAGAATTCAAGAGTCAAAAATTCGGACTGTACTTTCGGAACGTTATCAGGGAGCGAAAAGCTCGACAGGCCTCCGGTCTCATCCACTGTAATCCCACACGGGCCACGCATCGCCTCCAGTCGGTTTATTTATTGGACATGAAGCAGGACCACAATGGAGGCTGCTGTCCTTTTAGTCTTAGTTAAGATATCCTCCAACCAAAAATTGCAATAGCTTTACAATAGCTCTATGTTTCCGTCCACTTGGCCTTTCGTATCTCCCACTAGCCTGAAGCTAAATGTTCGCCAGGAAAAATCTCACGGAGGACTCCGACCAAGCTTCCTTCAACCGTGTAACTGCCAGAGAGCACCAGGCTCAGCGAGGTTGCACAGTCGCCGGACAGTGCACCTGCTGGATGGTAGTTTGACTGACGTCATAGCGACGTTAGGAAGCTAACAAACTATCCTAACTCCCTACTTTCTTACTCTCCTAGCTTACTCTAGCGGTCGGAGGTGGAGAGCCCCCGATCCCACTAGCGAGTCACGGTATCGACTGGGCTATAAGTTGTACTCTGCCGTATGATTAATCTGAAACCTGTGTCCATCAAGGAAAGTGTTGAGCTGTGAATCGACAAACGACTTCGTTCGGGTTTTATCGTCGCCATATATGACATCGAGTTGTTCTTCAGCGTCAGCCATAGCCGACGGTTGTTTTTATGTGTGAATGG